AGCAGGAAACCTGGCACTATGTTTTCAAAAATGAGGGACCAGCAATTGGCGTAATGGCTATGTCGCTGGACTCCCATGTAGTAGACTGCAGTTTGAGTACCAGAGGCGGAGGCTTAAACTCATTCTGGGCACATGTATGTGTGTGCTCAAGATCCCAGCAGTTAGCATAATGGCTATGTTGCTGGACTCCCATGTAGTCGACCGTGGATTGAGTCCCAGACCCGGTGGCTTAAACTCACGCCAGGCCCATGTGCATGTGCGCCCATGATCCCGAGAGGAGAATGGAGGAGAAGGGATTGTGGCATGGCCATCCCCCCGGGGGGGGGGGATTTCTCGCTTTGCTCTCTCTCTCTCCGTCTTTCTGGCGAGCACATGTGCCCTATAGCAAAAACCTCTCCAAAAAAAAAGATATTCCCTTCCTTTTGACTCATTAAACAGATGCAAACTCAGGACAGGAGAGTTGTGAGTACTTAAGATTTCCACCAAAATTATGACTGTACAGTGCTCTGACTAAATCTGTATTTAAGAAACTTGAAACAGTTGCCCTTAGGTCACTGGGAAAGTCATGGCACGTTTCTCTCTGCAAAAATGCATGATGACGTTCCTGGCCACCCAGAACATGTTACACACACTAGTATAAAAGTCGCGGAGGACACGCTATATTCCCTAGCAATTTTGTAAGCTGGCCTTCAGAAATGTATTGTAAGGGTTCGAGAGGGTATTACCAACTCTTATTACATTAGAAAAGTAACAGTTTACTATTATTTTGTCAAATAGTGGGTTAAGTATTTGTTCACTCATAAGACGCTTGGCACTTGTTCATTATTTTGTCCATACACCCATCTTAAGGTGAAAGGGAAATGTGAATTTCAACTTTATTAAAATGCTAGCTATTTAAAATTCCCCAGCTAAAAGTTTCCACACTTTCTTACCTGATACTAGTGGTTTCTGTGTATTGGACAGCCATCAGCTGAGAATTGGAGCCCTCCTCCAAAGCACCCTAAAAGAGAGGGGGGGGAGGGAAGGCTTAATGTCATATAATGAAATTACGTAAAAAGCTTTCTATATTGACTCGTTCTACATTTATATGTACTAAACATTAAAGTATTCATAGCTTTTTCATGAATATTCTAACATATTAGGTTCACGTAATTTAACACCAACATAAAAATTTAAACGCGTGGGCCGGCAGGTGGTGTGGTGGTTAAAGGCGCTGGATTCCCACATCACCAACAACAGTTCGAGTCTTGGACCTGGCAGCTTGCTTTCTCACTTTCCCTTTCTCTCTCTCTCTCTGTCCCTCTCTGGTCAAATTAATAATAACAACAACAACAACAAATGGAAATAAATAAATAGATATAAAACAATTTGAACTCTTGGAACCAGCATATGGTGGAATGATTCCATCACTGGACTCCCACATGGCCAACCATGATTTGAGTCTTGGACGCAATAGTTTGAAACTCATGCCAGGTCCATGTGCATGTGGGCTCAAAGTCCCAAGAGGAGACTGCAGCGTAGCCACCCCCCCCCCAGAGGGATAATTTCTCACTTTCTGTCTCTCTGTCTCTGTGTCTCTGGTAAGAGACACACCCTATAGCAAAATCTCTCTAAAAACAATTTTTTTGAACTCTAACTCACATTCTGGGTTGAGAGACATGTCTTATAAAGATTAAGTTTTTTGTTTTTTAAAGTCTTTTTGCTATAAGGTGCATGCATTCACTGGAAATAGGGAGAGAAGAAAAGTAAGAAATTACCCCATGAGAGGATGCCCACACCACAATCCCTTCTCCTCCCTTTTCCTCTTGGGATTTTGGGCATGCATACATATGCACTTGGTGTATGTTTCAAGCCACCAGGTCCAGGATTCAAACTGCATAGTCGGCCATGTGGGATCCAGCTGCCTTAACCTCCACACTACTGGCTGACCCAAAAATTTTATAGCACTTCCCATAATGTTTAAAGTAAGAACCCCAAAGCTTAGTCCAAACATCACAAGTTAGATGACCACACCATACAGGCATTACCAGACATATCCCAACTTATAATTGTCTAAAATAATAATCACGGGCCCAGCCATGGTGGGGCAGGTGACAGGCACTACTGCACAGCACTGGAGCCACACAGGAGGCCAGCGTTTAGATCATGGTCAATCTGAACATTCCAGACACACCCGCACATGCCTGTGATCCTGGGTGACTGGGAGACTGTGGGAAGAAGGACTGTGGTTTGAGGAGATCCCGTCAAGATTACCTGTTTCTCTCTCTTTCTCATGAAACAAACTTTCAAAAATAACACTAAAATAATGACATGACCAACAACAAGTTCCTAAAAGGTTTGAAAGGTCTATAATAAGATTAGATCCTATGTTTATTAAGTTAAACACACAGATCTTCATAAGCCTAAATATCAGGCCTAAATAACAGCTATGAACTAAGCCATCGTTAAAGAGAGCTCACCGATTACTCTGGCAAGAGAGTGGCTCAATCTGGACCCACCAGTGGCCCACAGATTGTTACAGCAGAAATCCACCTTCCACATAGCACCTGCTTTACACAATGCTTTTCTATATTTAGCCTAGCAGTTTTGTAAGCTGATCTCAGAAATTATAAGGGTATCAGAATTCAAGGGTATATTATCAATTATGATTACATCCAGAAGTGACCTATTATCTTGTCAAACAGTATTTAGATCACTGTTTAATCATAAGACACTGGGCACGTTTGTTCATTATCACAGCCACAGGTCGACCTTTCAGCAATCAGAGCAGCTACATGCACTAGGGCCGCAAAAGCAAATGTTTGACTTCCTCCTTCAAGAAGCTCACAGTTTAACTGGAAAGACAGATACATGAACACCATATGATATGACAAATGCTAAAACAGAAGCATGTACAAAACATTAAGGAAAGAAAAAAAGGAACAGTTCTGTTCAGTGGATAGAATGAACATGCAGGGATGAATGTAGTGTTTCCAAGTTTAATAAAAATCTAATGTAGATACTGCATATAATAGTGTTCAATAAGTGTCTGTCAAACAAATGTAGAAAAGGCATCAATAAAATGAAAAGAAAAGGGACCAGCAGCTGGCGTAATGGCTGTGTCTCTGGACTCCCATGTAGCTGACCACAGTTCAAGTGTCAGCCCCAATGGCTTAAATTCACGCCAGGCGCATGTGTGTGTGTGCCCAAGATCCTAAGAAGAGAATGGAGGAGAAGGGATTGTGGCATGGCCATCCCTCCTGGAGGGGGGTGGGGTGTGATTACTTGCTTTCTGTCTCTCTGTCTCTCTCTGACTTTCCGGCGAGTGCACGCACCCTATAGCAAAAAGACTCTCAAAAAAAAGAAAAAAAAATGAAAAGAAAAAAAAAGAAGTAGCCATACTAGGTGAATAAAAGGTGTCAGAGAGACCTAGAGAATAACATCCTAGATAACCAAAGAATCTCAGAAGGTCAGAGCTCGGGCTCATCGAGACTGACCTCATAACGTTACAGAAGAAAGCAGTCCTGTAAGTTAAAAGTCCATGTTTCAGGGCCAGCAGGTGGCATGGTGGTTAAGGCACTGGATTCCCACGTGGCCGACTGTGGCTCAAGTTTCAGATCTGGCAGCTTGTTTTCTCACTCCCCCTGACCCCAGGTCAAATAAAAAAATAATAAGTAAAATCATGTAAAATAATTTTTAAAAAAATCCATGTTTCTCGATACTCTTAAAATGTACTTCTGAATATATGACACACTGTTCCAAATTAGTCTCCAATCCAACAACTAAGACGTTTCCACTAGGATATAAACCTGGGGAAATAATTCCCATCCAAAACAAAAAACGTCTTCCTTGTTTCCTATAACTATTCCACGTCTCTATTCCCATTTACGGGGATTGCTCTGAAATACTTTTCTCTACTTTCTCATCTACCATTCTTCTCTGAATCCATTTCAATCAGGCTTTCGCCATCACCAGTCAATGAAGTCACTTTCATTGAGATCACTAACAAGTTCCTTTTTTAATATTTATCTTATTTATCATTATTTTTAATTTGCTATAGGGCATGAGTGCTCACCAGAAATAGAGGGGGGAAGTGAGAACGCATGCTGCCAAGTCTGGAACTTGAACCTCACTCAGCCGTGTGGGAGTCTAGCACCGTAACCACCATGCCACCTTCTGGCCCCACTAACAAGTTCTAACGGTCAATTCCAATAGTAATTTCTCGGTCCTCTCAGAATCACTCTCAGCCTCTGTAATAGTTAATCACATCACCCTTCTTCAAAAACTTTCTTTCCTTAAGTTTTAGGACACCTACTTTTCTACTATCTTACTAGTCAGCCACTCATCTTCTTTCATTTTTTTTCTTTAGATTTCTGCTACAGTGTGTATTCACTGAAGAAACAGAAAGCGAGAAACCATCCCCCAGGGGAGATGGCCACACCACAATCCCTTCTCCTCCATTCTCCTCTCGAGATCCTGGGGATGCACACACACGCGCCTGGTGTGAGTTTTTCAGACACTGGATCCTATTTGGGAGAGTCCAGTGACATAACCATTATGCCATGTGCTGATCCCATTTGCCTTCTGAAATGCTCGTTCTTAGCCTCTCTTTAGCCTCTACAGTTCGGGTTGGCCCTGGGTTCAGTGCCTAGCTCCCATGGTCCCTGTTTGTTTCTCACTAGGTAATATGATCCCAAGGTAAACTCTGTCTCCATCTTTCTCCTGAATTCCAATCTTGGGTATCTGATTGCCCACTTGACTTCTCCACTCAAATGCCTAACAACCAGGTCTAACTTAAGACAGCTAAAATTCTTGATTCCTGTCTCCTCCTTGCCTCAGTCGTGGTCTCAGAAAATGGTATCACTATTCATCTATTCATTGGTTCCTTTTTTATTTATTTATTTATTTATTTATTTTAAAGATTCTTGCCAAAGGGTGCATGTGCTCGCCAGAGAGGAGAGAGACACTGAGAGAGAAGTGAAAACCCAGCCCTGGGGGAGAATGGCCATGCTGCAATCCTTTCTCACCATTTTCCTCCTAGGATTTTGGCCATATACATATGCACACATGCCTGGCACGATTTTCAAGCCACCAGGTCCAGGACTTGAACTGCGGCTAGCCATGTGAGAGTCTAGCACTTTAAATATCACACCACCTGCTGGCTCCTCCTATCTATTTTTACACCAACAATTACTATTAGTTCCACTTTCAAAATATATTTGACATCCAAGTAATTTCCTCCACCTTCACATGTACCACACTAGTATGGGCCACAGAATCACTCAGACTACTCATATGGCTTCTTACACAGCATCCTTACTTTCACTTATGCTCCCTGCCATGGCCTACTTTGAATAACAGCTAGAATGAGCTCTTAAAAATAAAAAACAGGGGGCAGGGGAGAGAGCAGCAGATGGCGTGATGGTTAAGGGCACTGGACTCCCACATTGCTGACCACAATTCGAGTCTTGAACCTGGCGGCTTGCTTTCTCACTTTCCCTCTCTCTCTCACTCTGTCCCTCTCTGGTCAAATTAAAATAAATTAATCAAT